ATACCTTTTCACCTGGACTCTTCGGGCAAGTGCTGTTTGTAAGAATCACTGCCATTCTTCATACGTGCACACAACAGCGATTCCCTTATAGTCATAGAGACTGTTGAAGAAGGAAGTGTTCTTTGTGAGCACCTATTGGCAGGAAAAGCACACAATGGGGTGATGTGGCCAGCACCATGCCTAGCCACCTTTGTCTCCCAAGTGCTGTGATGTTCACACACCGCTCCTCATTGAATCATGCCCAGGCATGATTCATATATCATTCGCCACTGACATTGGCAGTGAGTGGGGCAATGCTCCAATCATTTCACCACCACTGATGCATGCACATACACACAAGCAAGTCCTTTATTTAATCACTTCAATAAACACCAAATATGGCTGTCTTTCTCATGGCTTTCTTCCACATTTTAATGCCCTACCATATACCGTACCTACTATATATAATTTATTCAAATCTTTAATTGATTTGCCTCAGATAAGTATCGCTCCATTACTATTAATTATTATTCCTTTATTATATGTTATTGCATATTTCGCACGAAAGTATTTTTTGTAACGTCTTCTAAATTGTCTTTGCTTATCTGTGTTGTATCAAACAAGCAATACAAGTAATACAAATGTAAGTAGTATTACACTTGTGTTGTGCATATTACAGTTCTAATAATTTACAGCCATTTTGTTAATACTCTGCTCTATGCGGACATCTCCATGATATGTCAATAATGGGGATTGGTTTGTTTTCCATATCATACTTCACTATGCTAGTCAGTGAAGGTTTTTGTAAGGAGTGGTTCAGGAACAGTTCAAGATATCACTTATCACTAATGTTATATGTGCTGTGAATCGAAATTAGCCTCATAACGCACTGCACCACTGCTCTGCTTTTGTATAATATGTACATTGCTGTTCATACCCTGTAGGGATGTGTTCTTGGTTTTTTTATTCATATATAATATTGTGAAAACTAGGCCTACTCTATAAGCGAAATTTCGCATGATCCAAAAAAAATCGTTTCAGAATTTTCCTACATTATAAATATAATTGCAGACAGGAATATTTATCACTAAGAGTAGCAGTCCGAGTGTTTAACGGGATCATTCATTTTCAGCACTGAATATCTGTTAAGTTGTGAGAAAAAAAAATCCACCCGCTTTTGCAATTTTTGCACATTCACTAAAGGTGGAACAGTTTTAAAGTTTTAAATTGTGAAGTTAAAAAAATTGAATGTTAGTAGAAAATAAAGTGTTTTTTTTAGTCATTGTGGTTTTGAGTTGAAGTGCACTTACACCTAATTAAACATGTTTTAAATGTCTCCATTATCCACTCGTTTTACTTTTAAGAGCAAGTCCTCGTGGGTTCCAAGATAATTTATTGAGAGTCGGTGCATTGCCATTCGCATAAAAAAATGGTGGGTGAATCATTTTGATACATTGTGAGTAAACACACGTTTCATAGCTTGATTTAATTACAGCATTTGCACTATTGAATTCGGTCGTGAAATATGAAGAAGGCCCCAAATGTGAGTCGTGTCTCACTGCTAATTATATAAATAATGTAGTCGACGACTGTTCAAAGGGAGGCCCTCCATTTTGAAGGTCCATCAATCTGCCAAACGCCATTGTTTCCCCCTGTTCAGTAGCAATACTGAACTTTTTGTTTATTATCAGAGAAGATACTTTTACTTTAATACTGTACCATTTTCTAAAATGTAAGCGCTGTATTCTGAGTAAGCGCTGTATTCTGAGTAATGGCCAAAGCCAGGTTCATAAATGACGTCACGCACCTGGGGGGGGGGTGAGAAATGTGACGTCACATCAAAAGGCGCAACTTTAAATAAATATAGCCAACACGTTCTACTTAATTAAATAGACTTCTTAATACATGTTTTATCCTACAACAGCAGAGTGCAGCGGCACAATACGCACTACAATGACAATAGTTTAAAGCGATTTGAAGCATGTTTTATTTTGGGGTGGGGGGGTAGAGCTTTGTGACGTCATACTTGAGGGGGGGGTCTGACTTTTGTGACGCCGTGTGACCAGGGGAGGGGGTCAAAAATCGTCCAAAATCGCGTGACGTCATTTATGGACGGCCCTTAATGGCAATACTTACATTTATCAAATTATGTGCAAAGCATAACACATTTTTCACTTTTGAATGGATGTGAATTTTGCAAATGAGATTATGCACGACAACTTTTTTTCTCCCACAGACTTATTCAAAAGACATTGCACTTTTTTTCTCATGAGTTAAATAAAACAAGGTTTGGTGTAGCGAGTTGAGGAGAAAAGTTACGTGTAAATGCCCAGCCGGTTGACAAGAAACATGGTTTTATATACATATATATGTATAGTCATCGTAATATGAGCTCTCAGAGCCAGTTTAGATAAAGGCTTCCAAAATGTGTATGTATAGCTATTGTTTAGTTGTTGGCCTTACCGGCCTACCGAAATGTGGGAAATTGCATGGTCAAACATGACAAGCATGTGAGTGGGCCTCATTGATCTTGTATTTTGTCAACTGATGCTATGTTAATTTACAGCTTTTTGTCAACCCAGTATTCATTGAAGACCTCCCTATGCTCTTAACAGTCATGTGGGTTGTTTGACCATACTTCACAACGCTGGTCAATGTGGTTTAGTGAAGGGTGTCTCGAACAAGTTCAGTTATCACTCGTCACTGATGTTAGTCATCGCTGTAAATCGAACTCTGGGTTCACAGCGCGGTGTGCCACCACTCCACCCCAACGCGATGTGATGCAGTGTATGTGATTTTTATGAACAACGCTGGTGTTCGTTGAAGGTCTTTGATTTCCCAAAGACACTCAACAAACCGGGATAAATCACTTTGATCCTGTAATCTAATAAAGTCGGGTTGAAAAAATGCAGTAGTGCCTCCGATTGGAAAGCATTCATCATGTCTAAAAGAAAAGTGGAAGTTACAAAACAGTCGACAATATAGACATCTACAGTGTATTATGCAATGCCTATGTGTTTATGAAGGATTGAGCACTCAAAAAGAATGTTCTAATTCATAACTTTGATTTAATAAAAAATAAATATGTCTAACTACTGTGGTGTATTTAATGAATTATAGAATCTTGGAAATTGCAGCTTGATGATAAAAACTCAAACGAATCTCAAAATCTTCTTGGTTCTTTCGGTAAAGTCACGTAGAATGGAAATAAAATAATAAAAATAATACATAATAAAATAAGATTTTTTTTATATTTTTTTTATTTTATTATGTTTTAGGTTTTATTATTTTATTATTTCCCTTCTACGTGACTTTACCGAAAGAACCAAGAAGATGAATCCCTGCAGTCACGAAAGCTTTAAATCGAAAGAATCTAAAAATATTTTCTGGTTCGGTATATTTTGGAAAGAAAATATTTTCATAGTATTAGATTTCTAGTGGAGTGACTGACGTGTGTGTGTGCAGTTTTAATTCTGATAGTTTTGATTCGTTAATTTTGATACATCTTGGAAAAACCCAATACATTTAAATATTGCTAAGTAAGCAACACAAATTTAGCACGAACAAATTTTGCAATGTTTAAAAGTGATCTTCAGCATCCAGTGCACTGAATTATTTTTTTTTTAACAGATACAGAACGCGAGGTAAATATTGAGGGCAGATATAAACAACTGCAGGACACATTGTGAACTAAAAATGATAGAACATATTTATTTTTTGGAGACTTATGATGCAGCACATTATTTGCATATTTTTTCTCACCTGGGTATTTATTATTTTTTACATATAATTTTTTATGCTTTATATTCGTTATGTTGCATAACAAATACACTTGTTGAGATTCAATGGTAATACATTACCTGAGGGAGCTTATATCCCCCCCCCCGACACCGGCAAATCAACAAATGAAATTGTATTCATGATATTTGCACGATAAAACAATAACAATTGCTATTATTGTTGTCCGTTTTAGTTCACAAAACACATTGTGAACTAAAAATGATAGAACATATTTATTTTTTGGAGACTTATGATGCAGCACATTATTTGCATATTTTTTCTCACCTGGGTATTTATTATTTTTTACATATTATTTTTTATGCTTTATATTCGTTACGTTGCATAACAAATACACTTGTTGAGATTCAATGGTAATACATTACCTGAGGGAGCTTATATCCCCCCCCCCGACACCGGCAAATCAACAAATGAAATTGTATTCATGATATTTGCACGATAAAACAATAACAATTGCTATTATTGTTGTCCGTCAATCGCACCTCCGATAACCACGGGTTGGCTACATACGGTGCGATCGAAGTTCAACATACAATAATAGGATTACACAATATTTACACATTATTTATCCCAGTAATGTTTAAAAGTAGGTTCGTGAGGTGAATGATTTAAATGTAATGTTAATTGCTGTTGATAGCCATATATATACTGATATGGATGTACAGGGTATGCCGATCCAAAATAATCCTATGTTATTTTACCCAATATTCTATAATCTTATGAACACGTTTTCAAAAAAATGTTGACAAAATAAGTCGAGATGGATTTGGCGTGCCAAAATAATTCCTGCAACAGCGCTGTGACAAAATAAACAACCGTGATTACAATGTAAGCCAAGACCATTTATGCAAACTAAAGTCAGAAATGTAAAACAAGGGTTACTAATCCTGATTTGAAGCTTTCGTGGCTGCAGGAATCCATACTCTTTGGTTCTTTCGGTAAAGTCACGTAGGTATAAAATAAAACGAATCACGACGTTTCGGGCGCAACACAAGCGTCCATCATCAGGTGGGAAAGCATGATCTGCAGATGATGGACCTACGTGACTTTACCGAAATAACCAAAGAGTAAGGGTTACTAAATGGACAGTAAACTTGCAACGAATGGCTTCTTAAGTTATCCTTCGTGTTCTGCAGTGTACATTCTCTCTTTTTGCAGCCATGTTTTCCAATGAGCGGAACTCACATCATTGGCGCCTAACCTGTTATTTTCCCTCTCGCAAGGTGTTCACGCGCTATGGCAAGTGCTACATGTTCAACTCGGGCAAGGGTGGGCGACCGCTGCTCACGACGCTGAAGGGCGGCACGGGGAACGGCCTGGAGATGATGCTGGACATTCAGCAGGACGAGTATCTGCCCGTGTGGGGCGAGACCGGTGAGATGGCTCCGAGACGAAGGGGGGCATCATGCCGGACAGGCGTTGAGTGGCAGGAGGCAGGAAGAGGGGACGATTCATGGGATTAATTACTTGAATTGTTTTTGGTAATTAAGTGCTTTAAATTAGTTCACAAATTGGAAAGTACTCAGTAAAGCCAATCAATTTTCGAGATCTTATATATTTGATTATGAGCTTTCAAATTCTTCCCATATAACTGAACTCTGTATTCCCTCCAACCTCCACATGCACTATCTTCTGCACTGAGAGCTCTTCTCATCCACTGCTTTAAGAGGCAGTTGCATATTTTCGAAGTAACATTTTATTGTAAGCTAAATTGTATTGATGTCTCTCCTAACAAACATTGTTTACTTTAGTTATTTAAAAATAAATAACAAATATTAAAATTTGGAAACACATTCCAATTAATTATTATTCACATTAGCCCGACAAACGGAACTGTCTATACACCTGCATAGCTTTTTATACCATTGTGAATTCTCTGCTGTCACATTACTATGGATGATGCGCTTTCCTTCACTTGTTTTAACCACTCGTTTTAGCATTATTCACAGTCTCCACACTTAGTGACTCTGTGCTGCTTGTCAGCTGGAAACACCCCTTTACCGTTTACTTTCAGATGAGATCTCCTTGGAAGCAGGTGTTAAAGTACAGATACATAGCCAAGACGAGCCTCCGTTCGTGCACCAGCTGGGCTTTGGTGTGGCACCCGGATTTCAGACTTTTGTTTCCTGTCAGGAACAGCGGGTATCTTGACAAAAAAAATTATAATAAAATTGAAATCGAGAAAAGAGCCCTCAGTGATGGAGGAAGTAAATACTGACTACTCATGAAATAATTAAACGTAGCCTCCACAGATGTTTGCCTTATTGGAGGTTTCTTTCTGCAAAATACGATATAGATGTTTTAAAGGAATTTACGTAAAATAATTTACATTTTGTAGCAGTGTAATATTTTTATATATATTTTTAAAATTATTCAACCATTAAACTGAGGTCTCTTTTACTATGTAATCGCAGTTTAAAGTCAATCAGCACTGACCATTTAAAAAATTGTTGCAGCTACAGACGTTCTACCACCAAATTGTATTTTTTTTAGTCAATAAATATCCTTACTGACTAACCTGCAGAGTAAGGCACATTTAGGCTAGGGAAAGGTAAAAAGCTATGAAGTAAAAGAACACGTAATTACAGTGAAGGTTAAATTTTGATTTAAAGCTTTCGTGACTACAGTAATTCATATTCTTAGCTCTTTCGGTAAAGTCACGTTGAAGGGAAACACTAAAATAATAAAATATATGTAAACAATAAAATTCTCACGACGTTTCGACCATAACACAAACTGTCATCATCAGGTGTGAAAACCAATGGCAAGAAACATTTGAAAGAAGTGGCTGTCCGTATTTATTTTTAAACGGTGTTTGTATTTTTTTTAAAACCGTCAGCACCACGGACAGCTATTTGGCAGTTTGTTTAGAAGGACGAGTCCATCTATGTTCTGAAAAGAGGAGGGGGGAGACGAAAAATTAATGTATGCTGTCTGAAAGCCACCGTAAGCGTGAACAATCAAGACCTGAAATGGTTTATCAAATCCTTCCAATGATTGCTAAGCCAGAATCCATCTTCTCTTGGATAGCCTCATTAACGAATCTCTCATGGTAGCCAGATGGCTTACAAATAACCTCTGTCTTGGAGAAGTCAATGTCATGTGAGCCTACTGAATTATAACAGTGATCTGCCACGTGAACACAAAGCATACTTTAAACACGGTAGGACCAACACCTCGGCCGTGGCAGATCACTGTTATAATTCAGTAGGCTCACATGACATTGACTTCTCCAAGACAGAGGTTATTTGTAAGCCATCTGGCTACCATGAGAGATTCGTTCATGAGGCTATCCACATATACAAGCACAGAGACAATTTCAACCGAGAAGATGGATTCTGGCTTAGCAATCATCGGAAGGATTTGATAAACCATTTCAGGTCTTAATTGATTGTTCACGCTTACGGTGGCTTTCAGACAGCATCCATTAATGTTTCGTCTCCCCCCTCCTCTTTTCAGAACATAGATGGACTCGTCCTTCTAAATAAACTGTCAAATCGCTATCCGTGGTGCTAACGTTTTTTTAAATAAATACAAACACCGTTTAAAAATAAATAAATACAAACCGCCACTACTTTAAAATGTTTCTTGCCGTTGGTTTTCACACCTGATGACGACCGTTTGTGTTATGGTCGAAACGTCGTGAGAATTTTATTGTTTTATATATTTTTTATTAATTTATTGTTTCCCTTCAACGTGACTTCACCGAAAGAGCTAAGAATACAGTGAAGGTTATAATATAGATGTGTTTTAAGTATGTAACATCTGTTGTAAATGGTCAGTGTGGGATTGATAATGCCGCAACTTTGTTTGGTTTCTTTTCGGTCCTGTTTCACCTCATCTCACTGTGTCCACATGACAAGACGAAACCTCGTTCGAGGCCGGTGTTAGGGTGCAGATTCACAGTCAGAGTGAGCCGCCCTTCATTCACGAGCTTGGATTTGGAGTTGCTCCCGGCTTCCAGACTTTTGTTTCCACTCAAGAACAGCGGGTAGAGTCAGCCGGGACTTGCTGCCTGCATCTCTTGCTTCCCTGCATGCTTCAGTGTGCTTTTTGTTTGTTTGTTTCAAAATGCTTATTGGCATGCTGACAATGCATGTTACTGAGGCAATCAGTGCTGGCCCAGCCTCATGCAATTTGTATGACAGCTACCGGCTCAGTGCGGCCTGGAAGCGTATTATTAAATAATACACATTACATTTTGATTGAAAGAATTACTAATCTACAACTCATTACTAATCATAACCAATGACTGATTACTAATCGATTATATAATTACATTACCCCCCCCTCCGCCTCTAATCACTGCACCTGATGAGTTAAGTGATGACGTCACTCTTCTGCTCTATATAAAACCGGGAGCAAGCGAGGGCTTTACCATTCTGGCGAATTGCCCGATGATGCTGGAAGTATTTACCAGCGAAACGTCGTACTCAAACTGTAAATGTGGATTAATTCTTCAACACACCGGTGGGCTGAAGTAGTGAATTATTTGTCTTTTGTCAACGTGACACTTTTCTTTGCTGATTGGCCGTGTCGGGTGGTGGAGGGTTACGACACATTTATAAATAAACGCGATCTAACCCAAAAACCTTTATTATGAATAATATTGGTCGCGAAAGCCTACGTGTTAAACCAAATTAGATTGTACAAATTATTTCTGTTGAACGTTTCCTGTATAATAGATTAGAGTATGTTCATATTTGTCATGCAGAATTGTGCCATAGAGTAAACATACATAATCTCAAATTGTAATCTTTTTTTTCAATTTGTAATCACCAAATGTGTTACATAGAAAGGATTTTGCTCATAGAAATTCAGGTGCGGGACGCATCACCACATGAGGTCTTTTAAAGGCAACCATTTTCATACTCAACTACAAATTAGGGAAAACTGCTGTTCACATAATTTCCATAATGCTGTCCTTATTCAGCGAGTGTAAATTTAAATAACTGCACTCAAGCAAAGCTAACTGTACTCAAACCCAAAGCAAGCAATGACATGTTTTTCTTCTTTGGTTCTTTCGGTAAAGTCACGTAGAATGAGAATAAAATAATAAATTGATAAAATAAAATAACACAATAATATTCTCACGACGTTTCGGCCACAACACAAGCGGCCTTCATCAGGTGAAGGGGACCAGACTGTCAATTTATTATTTTATTCTCATTCTACGTGACTTTACCGAAAGAACCAAAGAAGATGAATCCTTGCAGTCACGAAAGCTTTAAATCGAGACATGTTTTTCATCAAGTGATGTGTATTTCATCCTCGATTATGTAAATGTAATGATAGATGTGATAAATGCATGCTATATACATAATGCACAGTTTTCTATGAAATATTATGCATAATTCATCATAGAACAAAGCAGATTTTTAAAATATAAATTTCAGATGTGGACCACCACTACAGATAATGGTTGGTGGGTTGTGTAAAAAAATAATTTTCTGAGACTCCTGATCTTTGGAGTAAAATAAAAAGTTAATCATATTTTGCAAAACATTGAGGTAAATTCCAGAAAAACCTTCCCTGACTGAGCACCCTACCACGATCCGTGCTTGAAAACCCGCCAGTGGCATTTTTACAGGCTGATGCATGTTTGATTTTGAATGCGGTAACAAATATTTTACAGATATTTAAAGTAAGTATGGTCCCGATAACACATAGGCTTTTGCAACCAATTTTACGATTCATTATAGATTTTTTTGTCAGATCGTGTAAGCAAAATGTGTGTCATAAGCCCACCTCCACCAGAGACAGATATTTAATAAAGTTGTCACGTGAACAATCGTCTCAGTGTATTACTGCTTCAGCACACCGGTATGTTGGAGAGCAATCACACACCATTGAACAATTGGGTACCACGTTTTGCGGATAGTAACAACCAGCATCATCAGGGAGTTACCAGAATTGTGGAAATACAGTTGATCATCGATTATCCGGCACGCGATTATTCGGCTTCCAACATTATCTGGGGTTTTGGGCCGATCCGGCACCATGTGCATGACAAAAAAAGTAGCTATGCTTGATTTCAGTGTCAAATTACACGATACATACAACAACTTAATGAAAACACTGCACGTATATCGATTTTTCGCGACTAATAACTTTAGTAATAAAAAAACAAAATATGCAGTTCGAGCCGGCGAAAAGTGGGTAGAATTCAGTTAGCCGCAGTACTGGTCTAAATACTACATCAGTCTGGCGATCGTCAAACACATAGTTGTTGAAACAAGAGCATCGTAGTAAATACATCACCCTATGCAGACAAAATGGGACCTTTTTACCAGTATCAAAGTATGACGAAATAGGATGACGGTTAACTTTTCACAGTAGGACATTTATTTTTGCCTATTTGTATGTTTATTTATGGAAAGTTCGTATCGTAAACAGGTTTAAAACATAAGAATAGTTTTCCCCTTTTTTCTGTCAGAAAATGGAAAAACCTATTTTTATATTTTGGTACTGGCAAAGGAGGTCCCATGAGGTTTAAAACACTCAAATAGTATATATACACACACAATACCTGAAAAAACAATGTTATGCACGAATGTGCAAAAATAAGCTATTTTAAATAATGTGATTATTCGGCTTTTTTAATTGATGATCAACTGCATCCTCCAGTTTTGGGCTTTAAATAGAGAAGGAGGTGATACCGTAAGCCTCATGAATCCACGTCAATTATATTACCTTTAGCCCATAATAAATTATGTTGGCATGTTTGTTCATGGGACGCTATGAATTGGCTGTGTTGGGCAGAGGAGGGTTTTACGACACACATTCTACTCACGCGATCTGACCCGAAAATCAATGTACAGTCCAATTGATTATCATTAATCACGAATGATGGTACAGCAAGCAGTAGCTGGATATAAACACACCCCGTGAGAGTAAGGCCAGTGTGCTTGTATAAAAGTTTCCCTTTGCACTGATATCCAGCTTCTACTGCATTCATGTATTTTTTTTCACCTGAATCCTAATGTATACGTTTATTCACGTTGTTTAGCAAATGGTATTGGAATGAACATGGTATGGCATTATTGTTGCTGTTTGAGTTTTTGTTTGATTTTCCACAATGTATTTAGTGTATATTATCGGCAACATTAAATAAGGTATATACTATGTTGATAATTGAGGATGTAATGAATACATTTTTTAAGTACATTACTGGATTTCAAACCTTTATAACTCATCAATCAGTACAACGAAGAGCATACGATATTTAGCTGCACGTGGTTTGCCAGACCAGAGCAATCTATCTCGCACACTATCCAACCAGAATTGAACTTATAGAATATCAGCACAAGCAGTAGAAAACTGACAACATTGAAATGCAGCAAATATATGTTTGATAATTAAACGTGTTTAATACATCTTCATTCCATGTTGTCGATGATTGAGGATACATTAAATACGTTATTTAATAATTGAAGATATACTATTACACTTTTTTCAATAACGGAAAATCGAACAGAGATATAAAATCCAACACAGCAACAAATATCATGCCATAACATAGCCTGTCATATGACAGTGGTAAGCATCATGTTTTTTTATAATTTGCATGCACGTTTTTTGTGGATGTAACACTGATTTTCATGTAATTGCTTCATATGAGTGTGTGTGCAACATACAGCATACAAATGGTACGATCGTAAATCCGAACCATGTGTATGTATTTTTTTCTTCCCTTATTCAAACAAAGCAAATAAATTTGTGAAGCTGAACTTTGAATATTTTGTTCACGTAGGGGAGACAAAAACCCGTCTCAGCCACTTTCTTCCGTGACGTGTTCTCCTCAGCTCATCTACTTGCCGTCCCCATGGGGCGACTGCAAGGCTGACCCCATCAATTCAGACTTCTTCGACACCTACAGCATCACGGCTTGCCGCATCGACTGCGAGACGCGTTACGTGGTCGAGAACTGCAACTGCCGCATGGTGCACATGCCAGGTCTGCCACGCGCGTTATTGTTTGCTAATTAAGGGAAACGCGCTGTGTGTTAAAACAAAAATCCCACTTTGTCCGTACAACTACATGCTCTATATGTTTGGGGTTGTGCTGTGTCTAGCTCTCCGATGTCTGTTTGGGTTGTACCGCCTGCTTTCCAGCTCCAACGTGCTGGAACTGTTGTGTGCTTGTTGATTTTACGCACAAGTGCGTTGGTGCTTGATCACTCCAAGCAAAATTGTGTATGTATTTCTCGAACGATAGTTTTCTTCAAACTGTGCTGTTTGCCTCTTACAGGTGTGGAATTTCCCATATAAGGGCCAGATGGTGCATTGCCTTTATGAAACAGAAATAACTATTTTGATATCTGCTGGTACATTCTAAAATGTACACCTCTAGATCTAACATTAAAAATTAATGAATGTATTTTTAAGTTAGAAATACTACTGGTACATACATTTATTCTTATGGTTGCCAGGACACAAGATTTGTTTTTTTTTTTCAAAATACAAAATTACTTGGCTTGCACCAAACTACAACTCTTGGTGGACCTGTATGCTTCGCTTAATCTAATTACATAGATGGTTTCACATGGCAGCCAGCGTATACATATATCCTTCCAACAATCCTTAATCGGCAGCACGCACTACAACACTTGGCACCTGCTAAGTGTGGGTTTGTGCATTGAATCATATATCTTGAAATATCAGTACACCAAAAGGTGCAGGTTCATTTCTTGTTATAAATTATATTCATGAAAATAGTTTGCTGCTAACTTTGATTCTTTGGAGAATGATTATGCGAGCCATCCATATACAGTGTATTGAAATTTTAATGTATGATATCTATAATAATGATTAAACAATTGTAGTACCGTATGAGGTAGCTAAAATGCTTGTGAATGCAGAAGGCTGTTATCACTGGTGGTAATGTGTCATAGTGACCATTATTGGCATAGTGGAACAAACATCTAAAGTAGGTTCCTTCCCACGTGCACAAGCAAGAATGTGACAGCCCTCTTCTCCTGTTTACAGCCCAGAGAAAATAGTAGACATTCTACAATGCGAAGACAGGAGAAAATCCATCAATAGGAACATCAATTTTGCTCAATATTTCTTTCTTTCTAAATTACTCCAAAAAATATACACAATAATGAAGCAATATTCTTGATATTAAATAGCATGTTATGCAGATGCATGCTTGCAGGGTTGCATAGGTTGCTTATGTAAGCAGTTAAACATTATAACTCCGAAAGTGTTTTCCAGTCAGAAATTATGATGTAAAGGCCATTTATGTGCTTGTACTGTAGTGGAATTCATGACCGTGTTAAGAAAAAAGAACATTTATACCAAGTACTCCAATCAGAGCATTTCAATTCAAGACTGTGCTCTTGGAACTGTTGTTTCCACATTGAAATGTTGAATTGTTGCTTAGCCAAAGTCCAGAGTTTACGAAGGATACCGTCATTATTTAGCAGATAGTGTTTTTTTCCCTCCTCTGATCAATTTCCTTTAAGTCTTCTAAACAAGCTTAACAGGAAACGAGTGCAGCTTTTAAGAGCATATTCTTAAAACATTCAGACGTCCAAATTGTGTGTTCATGTATCAAGTGTAAGCTGTCAATAGTATCCTGAATAGTGCAGTACATTACTTTGGTATTGTACCAAATAAAATTGCATATTCACTGAACACAGTTAAAATTGAAGGTGGTCGTGAAAGGGTCTTTCACATGAAAAACACTGTTCTTGGTTCTTTCGGTAAAGTCACGTAGAATGAGAATAAAACAATAAAACAAAATAAGACAATACAAATTCTCACGACGTTTCGGCCACAACACAAGTAGCCTTCTTCAGGTGAAGGACCAGAACTGTCGGGACGACAGCGCTTCAATGTCGTCCCGACAGTTCTGTTCCTTCACCTGAAGAAGGCTACTTGTGTTGTGGCCGAAACGTCGTGAGAATTTGAATTGTCTTATTTTGTTCTATTGTTGTATTCTCATTCTACGTGACTTTACCGAAAGAACCAAGAAGATGAATCCTTGCAGTCACGAAAGCTTTAAATCGAAAAATGAAAAACACTGGTTAATTAAATGTTGGAGAATGTTTGAAATAAGAAATATAAAAGGACGGCTGTGTCTGCGAAGCATAAAAACCATGACGTGGGATGGAAACGTAAAATTACTTTGGGTTTAGAGTATTGATTGACTTCACTTAATTTTATGTGGCCACAAATTCGCGGTTGATTTTATTAAATGTCTGAACGGAAAATGTATCACTGTCCTTAAAGTGGCCTTGAAGCTAGTCAACCAAACGTGTTCGTGTTTGCAACATAATCACGTATGTAAGATTACAAACACATAAGCGTTTGATTAGATCGTTCGATTTACCATGTAAATGTATGCAGACATGTTAATTATTCTGGTGCTTTATTATTTTATTTAAAAATTTGATCGATGTTTCGAATGTCTTCTCATGTTTAGCCTCTTCAAAGTCATATACAATTACAGGGAAATATATTATCACACGATAACAAGTATGCCTTGAACACCCTAATTGTTATTTTTGCTACTATTTATTTGAAGGTTTTTTTTAGATCATTTGTCCCCACTGTTAATTTATTAAAATGTATTTTAGTTTATGTAAAAAAGAAACATAACATAATTTCCATCTATCTTTTATGAGATTGTATTTACCTTCCAGAAATAAATTACATTTAAAACAAGGCTGTACCTGCATTGATGTGAAAGGGTGCCTCTTCTTGACTGGAGTTTATCATGTGTGTTGTTGGTCAAATCGTGCAGGCGATGCACCATACTGCACACCGGAGCAGTACAAAGAGTGTGCAGACCCAGCCTTGGGTAAGCATCTTGCTCTGATGCAGCGAGAGAGTTCTCTCCTCGTGTTCCACTGTTTTGGTCATGCAGCATCCCTTTTTGAAACAGTCTGACCTGTTTCACCCCCCCCCCCCCCGCCGAGTGTTTGAGATTGTGTGCTGCTCTTTGCGGATTTTGATGATGCTTGAACGCTTTTTGTTGAGAAGGGTACCGCTGTCAGTGTTAAATCATAACAAATTACTTTGTTACCGCACTGGGAAAGGGCATCACTGATCATTGCCGTGATATTTCCTGGTTTTGTCCAGTGTCACCGGAAATGCAGTGAATTCGCCGTAGATTTACACTTTCATCAATAAAACATGATTTATAATCAGGAGATCGGTTGGTTTGAAATGTCAAAAATAATATCCAGGGTGATGTGTATAATGACATCCCATGCAAAACAATACGGAAAAATTGAGAATTTTTTATTTATTTCAAAGCCTCCACATTTCTCCCACCAATCTCAATTAACTTGTTCAATCTTTTAACACTCTCATCTATAAGATAACGAGCCAATACATTAATTATATTAAATCACCTCTTGATAAGAAAGTACTGTAAATGAATCTGTATAACAAATGCCCGTTAATTACATTGTAACAATATTTAATGTCTTATAATCAATGTCATATTATAATATTCAATTACAAAGGTGTCCTAACACATTAACAATTTTGTTTCATAGAAATCATTGAGAAATTATTTTTTTAAGTACGTACAAAGGCTGTCCGCTTTCCGTGTTCTCAGCTTTGTGCTTTCGACTGAATATCCTCATAGACTTTCTAGTGGAGAAGGACAACAACTACTGTGTCTGCGACACACCATGCAACACCACACGCTACGGAAAGGAGCTCTCCATGGTGAAAATCCCAAGCAAGGCTTCGGCAAAGTATCTCGCCAAGAAGTATAACAAGACCGAAGATTACATCCGGTGAGATGATCAACTTACCCAGAATGTGAACCAATTAGGGCTTGAGCCTAGATAGTGCTTTGATGAGTTACCACCAATCACAAAACAGGTGTAGTAGGCTTTTTGGGGTAACAGAGAGCAGCGAAGTAAAACATCCATTGTTCTGTACTTTCACCCCCACCTTCATCAACCCACGCTGAGTAGCATGCAGAAGTATGTTCAATGAACCCTTCCTGCATGCACGGCATAGGGAGGCCCTCATCCAGAAGTGGATTGACACACTGGCCGTATATTTACCAAAATACTTAGCACCGTGTTAATGTACTGCCATAACGTGTCGGTCATGGGTTGTTTTCACTATACTTCACCGTGCTCGTCATTGCAGGTTGGTGTTTGGGTGGGGTTAGGGATTTTGTTTTTGTAAACTGAACAAGAAAAAAAAATACCCCCACAATGCATATTACCATCAGCCGTGATCAATCCACTGCCATGTTACAATCCATCTCGTGCCCGCAGATGAGCTGATTTAATCACTCACAACCCCACAGTGGATGCCCTAGTGGGCTAAATTCTCTTCATTGGATGTCACTGTCATTCTACTCCATCACCGACCACAATCCTTTCTAGCGTAATGTTATACGGAAGATGCATATAAATAGCGAATAAATGTTTGGCTCACGTAAGAAATGTCCTATATATAAAAAAAAAACATGTGTGTTTTTTTTATTCCATCACGCAGGGAGAAGGTGTTGGTTCTTGACATATTTTTGTGTGTTTTTTTTATTCCATCACGCAGGGAGAATGTGTTGGTTCTTGACATATTTTTCGAGGCTCTCAACTATGAAACGATTGAGCAGAAGAAAGCGTACGAAGTTGCTGGCCTCCTAGGTAAGGGATTATGCAATTCATTTATTCACATGTGGGTGACTTTTTGCCAAGCACACATGATTCGAATGTGTAAATACATTGGTCACTGTTTGCTTCCAAGTTTTTATTCAGGGGAAAAAGAAAACTGAACAAAAAACAATTGCAAGAAATATATATTCTGAAACGTTATCTTGTGTCAGCTTTATACTTTTCGCAGGGAGCTACACATGCATAACCAACCTCCTTAATGATTTCACGTTTACACGTAAAGCCAGGATACAAAATTATAATGGACATCTGTCATTCATAAATGACGCGCAGAGACTATTGCGTTTTAATATTTATAGTTTTTTTCAAACGTATTTAAGCACAGCTGGCTGGGACCTTGCAGTGCAAATAAGTAAATGTACCCAAGAGTGATACTCGTTGCTCGTAAAAGCTCTACAGTGCAATGCATTGAGCCTGATGTGTGTTGGATGCAGGCGACATCGGTGGTCAAATGGGTCTGTTCATTGGAGCAAGCATCTTGACCATTCTGGAAATATTTGACTACCTTTATGAGGTGATATGAACATAACGTACATTTATTTATTGTCACGTAACTTTAATCTCATTGTATATAACGTTTATATTAAATGCGGTACTCATAGTCCTTAAGGTAGATTTTTTTTATTTATGAAAATTATTTTGTTATGTTCATCGTTACATCAAGTGTCATTGTTCTTGCAAACACATTTCTGCTATTTTATTGTTTTATTTAATGCCTAACTCCATACAATTCACAACGTTTGCAGTTGTTTCTTTTTTCCCTTATTGAGGGTCATTGCATTCACATTGAACGTTTAATTATATTTTTAAGGTTCTAAATTATAAGTGTAATGATTTTGGACAGCACTGTAAATTAAATAATACAGGATTATAATTATATTCGCGATGCTTGTTTGTTAACTAGGTATTAAAGGACAAGGTTTGCAAGTGCCGCAAGAAACACAACAAGAAAAGAAGTGAAAATATGGTAAGTCTTAGCTGCACAATTAATAAAATACATCTGTATGATGTTGGTATTTAGTCATCTACGTATCATGCATGCCATTTCTTTCTTCAACATGGTAACCCATGACAGTTATTATTTTAATGATGTAAAAAATATGACCATCATACATTCCCTTGTGTTTGGTTGACATTGTGTAGTATTTTGTTAAATATGTTGCATGTAAATAATGCTAAACATTGTGAAAATGTTTAAACCAAGATTTACTATATATCCTGTGTAAGATGTGATAATTGATACATACGTATTAAGGTTATAATTTGTCATGGGATAAAGTTTATTTTGCACCTTTATGAAAATAAAAGTACATGTTGATTAATGGTGCGCTTTAAGTATGGCATTTTAGATATTTTTGTTAGAGAATTGCTCTTAATTTCATATCCTATTCTGGTTTCTCTTTTTCAAATATAAATCTATTCTTTTGCTACCACATCCTGTGTACATTATTTTTGCTCTCTCTTAGCATCTGGTGTGACATCCAAGGCTTTAATATTTCACTCACTATTTTCTGGATCACTGGTAGACTGGCGTAGAGTCGTGACGAGTAGTCACAGCAATCAGGAGAGAGTAGACTGGATCTGGTGTGCCGGTGCAGAACTATTTTCTGGATCACTGGTAGACTGGAATAGGCACGTTGTCGAGGAGCCATAGCCATTGCGCAAAGTATACTAGAATTGGTGTGGCAGCTGAAGTGAATCCGTGGTGACAACAGAACTCGTGTTGTGTTCCCCTCTGCTGTGTTGTAGACACCGTGCGAGACCCTCCGGAGTCACCACTCACAAGACGTGCACTTCAACAGTAGCATTCTACCTCATCACACCGTCAGAGGGACGTTTGAGGATTTTGCGTGCTAATGGCTTATATTAATCTCCTACATGTATTTACAAACATTTAGTGGTTGAGTTAGCGATCTCCAATAAGATGAGGAAACACAACAAACAATTTTAAAAAATCCGTTCCACTAGGTACAGAGTTTTGTAAAATAAACTCTCGATTATTCAGGGTAATGGAAAGGAAGGGGTAGCACGGATAAAACAAAAACACGGGCAACGCAAAACGTACGTGATTCAGCCAATGGAAACTAGTTAATTGCTTACCCAGGTACAATGGGGGAAAAGACGAAAACTGTGCCATTTTTATTCTTCCTTAAATTAATAGGTTTATTTGCCGACATGTTGCAATCACGTGGCTACTGAGTCATTGACCCTCTCGAATGAGAAGTCGGTAAGAACTAAAGCAGCCCATGTAAAGATTTACATATTTATTTTGGAAGCTGAAGCATGGCCAATCCGCAACCCATGTAATCCACCCACGGATAATTGAGAGTGAACGTAAGTAATACATCCATAGTCCTAAGTGATTTTTTGCAAACATTTGCACACATGACTGCCAAAGCCTAACCAGCCACATATTTCCTCTTCAGTCACATCATTATTGTAAGGTAGGCCAATATCAATTGAGTTTAACACGTAGGCTTTCGCGACGAATATTAATTAAGTGAATGAAATATTGAAATACACTGTTTTAAACAGCTAATTATGGTACTTTTATGAGTCAAGGTAAATCAAATCTGTTTAACACGTAGGCTTTCACGATCTCTATCATCCATAATAGAGATTTTTTTGGGTTAGATTCGTGTAAATATATACAGCACACCGGTGTGTTGGAGAGCTAAGCCATGTACTCAGATTGTAAATGTTGTGGCTTGGCTCTCCAACACGCCGGTGTGCTGTACTAGTGACGAATTGGCCACGTTCTGTTTACGTGACAACCCTTACTGGTTGGCTGTGTCAGGTGGTGGCGGGATTTAACGACACATTTATACATTTACGCGATCTAACCCAAAACAGCCTCTATTATAAATCAAATCTGCTGTATTGAAATATACATAATCATATATATAATACTTTTAATTGCGGTAATGAAATTTTCAGCTTAGGTTTAAAGAACAAACATGAATGTAATGGTATTAACAGTTTTTGTTTCATCACATGACAAAACACACAGTGGGCGAATATGAAAATAGATAAGTGCTAAGGCAAATATCCAACCATAAGTGATAATTTTTGGTCATTGTATAATGAGCACTTTTTCAATAATAACAGATTTATACTACTGTACTTCTTTAAGTAGTATGTAATAACTATTAAGCCGGAAAAAAATGTTTGTTCAGATAACAGGGTTATGATTATGTACGTAAGGTTTGAGAAAAAATGTTAACATAAGTATATAAATGTACGTGTTCACTTTTGGCGCACATATTTACTGATAAAACTTTAGACTTCACGTGAACAATCCTATACACCATTTAAAAATACAATGAGACAATTTGGGGGTTTCTCTTTCAAATGTGCTACCCATTTGTGCTTTCATATATAATAAAACAAACCGGTAATGACATGCCAATAGCATTGTAGCAATCTGACTAATGTAAACATGTTGTGGGACTGCATGGACAGTGGTGCACAAAAAATACAAAAACTCAACACATAAGTCAATAAGACTGCCGTAGAGAGGAATAATTTTATGATAAGCGACGTTTCTGGCAATGGCACTTCTTCGTAGCAGAGAGATCAAGCAGATATTCATGTTATGTAGAAGAGTCATTGCCCAATATGTTGGCTATTATTTGCCCTCTTAAGGGCAGAGTTATTGATGAATGTGTTGTATCATTATTGTTTAGCTAATGCAGTAACTCTTGCAGCTCCCCGCAGGAGCTTTCAACCACGGATAGCACACAATAGGTATGACTTGATTTTATTCAATTTCTTTGTGAGTAATTTACATTTTATTTTCGGACCATGCCACCAGCAAATAATGGCCCATACATACAGCATACGTGTTCTTGTAAAACACATTTTCTTTCATCAACAATTGTTAGTTTTTTTAAGCTTAATATTAAAAAAAATACAAATTCATAATTAAAGAGTACTTAATTTTGGTAAATAAACGTTGCTTGTAAAGATTTTTTTCTGGACATTTATATCGCATGTATCTGTGTTATTTTCCCAAACTGATTTGTAGCCATGCTTGTATTGTCATTTATACGTAGCATTTGAAATGTTATACAATATTCATAGATTAGGTAACGGTGAGCATAGATATACACATTATAATTGTATTTTTGTGCCGAAATTATGCTATACATTATATATTTACTGTTTGGATTTAATATTCCTAAGATTGCTTATTGTTATGTTTTGTGACAAATATATGCCTTTAAGCGTTTTAATTTTTAAAGTTTAACATAAAAGAGGAATTATAAGATTCCTTTATCTCCATATCTTGTGCTATTTATGTTTTAATTACAAACAAAAGCATCAATACATTTACAATGAAAGAAGGTGGTACATGTTTTGGAGTATACATTGGAGGGGGAAAAAAACTATATTTTATTCTATTTTCAAAATTTAGTTCAGCAGGTGCCTCCCGCATCTATTAAATTAATCTTGCAGCCTTAAACAGAAATCAGTCAACTCGACACCTATTTTGATTGCTCAGAGGGTTCATTTAAATCAAATACGCAAACACAAACCGTCCTAAGTGGCATTTTTTAGTGATTTACGAGAATACAATACGGTATAATTATACAGAGAGCAATTTAGGCATTTATTACCGAAGTATTCCACTTCATTTAAGTGTAGGTGATGCACAGGGACTACGGTACTCAAAATTATTTAATAAAAAAAGTTTTTTCTTCACACTTTTGCGTCTTCATAACACAAAACCCTTCAATGAATTGTTAATAACGAATAGACTTTATCCTTTCTGGAAATAATACAGGTGTTATGATGGTCAAATGCCAAATAGATATATATTGCAAGGTATTACGTCTGCATTAACCACATGCTTGTGGTAAACATGCAAAAAAAACGTACTTTTATAACACTATGTAACACAATTTTTGTTCCTGCTTTTGTGACCAGGACTTTATGTGACTGAAAGACACAAATGCACACCACGTTTTCTCATTGAAAATATGTAAATTTCTAAATATCATTGTCCTGGTCACAAAAGCAAAGTTTCTGGGGAATAATAGCCATTTCTGTACTTTTGAAGCATAAGCAATTAGGAAATAACACTTACGACCCAGGAACAAAAATTATTTTTCTGTTACACAGTGTAATCTATGCATTGTCCTTGAAACTGATTGGCTTACACCAGAGACAGCCTCCTTTATGGTATTATTTAATCGGTGTTAGACTAGAGAATGCCAAAAGGTGAACAGCACAAAGGCAATGCAAATATCAAAACATTCACCAGTATCAAGACTATGAAAATAGGGTACCATAGATATAACTGCTCAACCCTTCAATATGTGCTTACATTTTTGCAAATAGGGACATTTATCCTCGTTGTATGTGGTTATTTAGTATTTTTTTGCGTTGTAATACGAGTACATTTGCTATTGTCAATACCATTTTCATAATGTCAATTTGGAGAAGTTGGAATTTTGTAGTGAAATTTCCATCATATCCACTGGCTTAAACATGTGAAGACGTAAAAGCACAAAAATGGCCGATACTATGGAATGGTGAATTACTTAAATGCATCAGCTGTTTTACGCTGATGTTCATACTTGTTTGGCGCCTTACTCATACTTTATTGCCACATTATTGAATACCTAAATTATCATCGAGTTGTAAACATGTACATGAGTCAAAACAATCAAAATAACCCTTCTGATTGTGTTTCTCTAAGGCTACTTTAAAATATCTAGCATCTGTCCAAACGTATTCAAGTTGAACACATAGCTTTCAGGTTAAAATATACTTTCATATGAAAATAATGTTGGAAATATGAAAAACCATACATTGTATTTCAAATATGAATGTGAGAGCATTCCTGATTATATACTGACGAGAGTTAAATTCAGTCTGCCGTTTCGTTCAGTGAAAATGTGGGGTTATGATTTGTAATGCTTCTTACAATGTTCGCTACGTAAAATCCAATAAAACACTTGTACAGCACATAACTGCACTTGCATATTAATATAACCTTTAGCAGCAGTATACGGTGTACGTGAAGACTACATTCTTCAATGCATTGAAATTGTGCTTTTAAAATACTGTACTGTAGTATGTTTTTTTTACAATGATATGTATTATTTATATCAATATACAGAAGCAAATAATGCATATGGCAATGAATTAATCGACTCTGTGGGATAATTCGTATCGTAGCTTCTTGTCTTCATTCTATAAACAATAGCTAACACGGTATGTGCCATTTTGAGCTTTTAATGAGCAACGTATTGTTCGATGTGGCAGAGTTAAAACATTGGAACCAATACACTCGAATATACGATTGATTTGTCTGACATTCTTCAGTAATTAAACAAAGAAACAGCTCCGATCATTCATGTTTGCTTTGGATTGACGTGTATTTAATGCATATACCTGTTGTGTAACTGAAAACTACTTTTTCTCCCAACAAAAAAAACGGACAGCATGCAATGACACATGATTATGAACATTTCTTATTGGTGTTAGAGATTCACATCCATTGATTGAAGGCGTTTGTTCTCTTCTACTGCTGTAACTACATGGATGTATATGAAAGTCTCGTCATGCGAATGTCATCGAGTGAAATATGTATCGTAAAATGCAGGCCTTTATCAATCCACTGCTGGATGAAGAAGGCCCCCCACCACAGACATGCAGTCGTGTCGGTTGTTGGACCCTACTTCACCAAGTTGGTCAGTACGGGTTGATGAAGGGGGTGCCCAAGACTGGTTCATATATCACTCGCCACTGATGTTGGCCGTGGCCAGGGGAAACCACTGCGTAATTAGTAAACCTGTCAACCCATTATCAGTGCCTACCTTATTACAGACCATTTCAGACCTTATTGGTCACCCCGTGCCCTTATAAATCTCAACGTTCATCCTACAAAGTCCCATTACAATAGAGAAACACAAATAGTTTTTTTGCCCGTATTGAAACTGCTCTATGCCGTATGGACCTGAAAACTCAATTTCCCTGTACAAGAATACGGGTAAACCGTATGGGTTGACAGGTATGAATTCGCATAATACGCTAACCACTACATCTCCGCTCTACGGCATCTAGTGCAACCCTGAATATCTGTATATTCTCAGCCAAACTCTCTAAGATTGATTGATTTATGGATATGGTAGCTTGGGTGCTTTTATACTTATTTTGATAAAGAGAACATGGTTAAAGAGACATTTTATGCAGTGTGATATATGCTTTTTAATATAACTGGTTTTCATGTTAATGCGTTGCATGGGTTATTCATGTAAAATTGTTAATTATACGATGTCATGCGAATATCAGTAAATATACCGCATGCTTATGATGTTCCATCTAACTTTGATGTTATGCAAAGTTGCATGGTTTAGCAACCTACCATTGACAATTGAAAAAT